TTTTTGGAAAATTTGAGAAAGGGTTAAGATGATAAGTAGATTGAGGAAAGGTCGTACCGGAGGAGAGAGAAGATACGGAAAAAGGGTACTGTTCCCACCACAGGACGTGTTGTGAGCGTATCAACAGTTTTGGTTTGATATCTCATAGTCTGGTTTGATATCAGATCGCTGAAGAAGGTGCTAGGCACCGAAATATTCGAAGGAAGTATTAGAAACAATAAAAAAATTTTTTGCGAGAACTTTTGGATTCTTTTGAGTCTTTTGAGTTTTTTGCAATAAATTTTTGGCGCCTCTTTCTACGTGTTTCATACACAGTTTTGGTTTAAACTGATCGTGCAGGTATAGTGGAGCATTAGTTTTCCTATTGCTAGGTCTATCAAGAAGCGAAACGTTTCTGCAAAGTCTACAATATTAACGTGATTTGTGCTTATGGAGGAGGAAGCAAGTGGGAGCAGTCGAATGAACTCAAGAACGAGGGTGCTGAATTGGTCGTGTGTACTCCGGTAAGCTTTCTGCAGTTTTCCTCTACCAGAGTATTGTTTATGTTTATGTTTATTACGCTGCCAAAAAGGCAAACGTGAGAAAGCAAAATAAAAACCACTTAAATAGAGAGAAACTAACAGAAGTTCCAAGGCGAGATGAACGATACATCAGTATCCAAGGAACGACATCGCGCCAGGGCGGAAGGAACAAGTTCGATCAGTATCCGAATAAAATTAAGAAGTGATAAGAAACTCAACAAGGCAGCTAATTAGAAATCTGACAACAAGGCGATAAGAAGTGTTCAATCAAAATTTGAAATAGGAGACATGATAAGCAAAGTCAATCTCAGTTAACTAGGATGTTTCGTGACTAAGTAGCTGGGCAGCTGCAAGCTTCTTGAACTGTCGAAGAGAATTGGGAATGGCCATATTCTTTGTAACTTTTTTGTACTTGTACTATTCTTGAGAATTCCGGAATTAATGGAACATTGGATTTGCTTGGAAAAGATTGAAATCTTAAAATCGCGTTCATACTTCATGATTGTTGAGAATCTGCGATTTCTGAAGATTTTCGTGCCGTAGCATGCAAAATACTTACCTATCGGGCGAGTACACGACTCGGGAGAAAGTGCCAAGCCGTTAGATGGGATTTGATTGGCTCCCCCAACGGATAGCGTGTTTCCCTGATTCGCATGTTCTGAAATGCTTGTGGTGGAAGTCGGTCGGTTACCATGTAATCCTTGGAGTATTCTCCAGAATCTACCAACTGATTTGTTTGCTTTTCGCGCATTCTCCTGAATCGCAGCATCTCAGAATCGCAGATAGTACATAATCGAAAAGTGTGAGTCTCAGAGAAGAAGGGCAACATTCCCTGATTACGACTCCAAAAACTTTTCCGCACAAACTCTGCCTGTAGCTATTACTTGGTGCCATGATCACAATATGGACTCGTTTTTGACGCTTGGTAGTTGACGTTAATATACGCCAATTTGGCGCAACCACCTTTCTCACCAAAGTGGCTGAAAACATATATACGAGGAGTTGTGACATCCTGACCATTAATATCAAACTAGTTTTTGACTTCGCCGCCAACTGGCGCCATGGTGCTGATTTGGCGCGACTACCTTTTTACCGAGATTCATGGAAACCCGCATTGCAGTGTTTGATATCCTAACATGTATACGGCATTCACTTTTCTGCCAGCGCCAACTGACGCCCTGCTAAGGCTGAGCCTGGAGGGGGTTCGCTTTCCATAAGCTTAGCCTTTGCAGAGCGCAGATCATCACAATGCCCTACCTTACCGCCAGCGCCAAGAATGAATGTCATATTCGTGACCAATATGTATGATAAGCCATACAAGTTTTCTTCGATTTTTATGAGAAGAGGGCAGCGCTGAATCCAAATGGCGTCATGTCGAAAATGAGTGCGATTTTCGTGATCAGGCGGTCACTCAGTTCTATTATGCAGGTTTTCATCGCTTTAATGTGAAAAATGGCTGTACCAAATGGCGCCGGCGCCAAAAAGCTATCATATTCGCTATCGGGGCAACGAATAACCTCTGTGAGCGGAAACTCAGAAAAAAATCCCCGAGGTTTTGGAGTCGTAATAGTGGATTGGTGCCAAAAAGTGATTGTCTAGAAAGCGAATCTCGTGTTTCAGAAGTTCCTCACAGTAGTTGAGTTTTGCTTGATTTTGAAATTTTCTGTTCAAGGGACGAATAATCGACCTGGTGAAAACTGATGCAACAAATTTTTCACGTGTAACTTTCTTGGTATTTGACGAAGCTGATCGGATGTTCGACATGGGTTTTGGTAAGAAAGTTTCTGCGCGATTACACAGTTAGACATTCTTTTATGCATGAATCTATATTTCAGAAGCCCAAGTGAAATCCATTTCTGACCACATCCGTCCCGATCGCCAATGTCTAATGTTCAGTGCGACATTCAAACATAAGGTAACACTTGAACTAAGGTAGCGTTCATACTTCGTGATTGCAGCCACGATCGCCGATCGCAGTGTGACCGTGTGCGCCTCTGCGCTACTAGTCGGATCCCTGCTATCTCTCGAAGTTGGGGAGCGCTCGGTCATAACCAATCCTTACGATCGCTTTGATCGCTGTAATCGCGAACTATAAACGCTCTCTTACCAACAGTTTGGTTCATTGATTGGTTTTACGAATTCCATATCTCCACCTAGCCGGTATGGTTTTCATTTGGCAGTGTGCCCTTTGTATCATTGGGTGGCTAGGGCTCTTTATTTTCACAATCATTTCAGGTAGAGCGTTTAGCAAGAGATGCTCTGTGTGATCCAGTACGTATTGTCCAAGGAGAAGTTGGCGAGGTAAAGCTACCTACAAATTTTGTAATGGTACCCTATAAATGTTGGGAGTGATCCTGGGAGTAATATTTGTCTCTCTGGAATGTCTTCTTTTAGGCTAATGCTGACGTTATACAAACTGTAGAAGTACTACCACGGCAAGACACCAAGTGGGTATGGCTTACAGAGAGGCTTGTGAATTTTGGAACAAGTAAGTTAGAGATTTAGTTAAATATTGTTAGGAGGCTTCGCTTTTCATCTTCCATCATAATAAGTTCTCTTTCCAGTGGGTAAAGTACTGATCTTTGTTACCAAGAAGATCAACGCTGAAGACCTTGCAAAGAAGCTCAAGGGTAGGTTTGTCAACGTTGAAATGCGTATTCCCTCTTCAAGTTGGTTTTTATAGGCTCGGGACTTCGATCTGGTCTTGCTACATGGAGATATGCTGCAGCATGAACGAAACGAACATCTTCAAGCGTTTCGTAAGAAAGTTAACATTATGGTGGCTACTGATGTTGCAGGTTTGTCGTTTACGTGTTTTTTTTTGCCTGGTAACTACGCTCCGAACGAAATTCATATGAATAAAGTAAAGGCAAGGCAAGATTCCGCCGCACGTTGCGCGGCGCGAAGGCGCGACAAATCACGATTGTCTTGTCCATCTTCCGGCTTACCCACTCCCTTAGATGCTTCCCTCTTAGGCATAGACAAAAATTTTATCCACTTACCAGTAACCGTTCCATTCCACCGCTCTTCTATCTTCCAGCTATGAATGTCGTCCATCATTGAGAAATCGAAGAAATGTACAAATGAAACTGGCGGTTTTGTGGTCTACAGGAGTTTCCACAAGTTGCCCGTTGTGTTGATATCGGTCCGGAAATTGTGGGCGTGACATTGCCCTCAAGCCGGCATTCCTAGCTAGTCGACTCGGCACGGCTTTGGCGTTAACACAAATGTGTCGCGAGCTGGGAGTGAGATAAAGTCGTGAAATAAGTAGCTTAGGACGTAGTAGGCTGAGAAGTACAACTTACTTGACGCCAAAGTGCTGTGTAGAGTTACCGAGCTAGATATACTACATGGTTTACGAGCGCTACCGTCACCGTTGACGTCGAACTACACCCTGTTGACAATAGTTAACAAAATGCCCCCCCCTCCGTCCTCCATAGCGGACCTGAAAACGCTAGATACTTGATGAGAACGAGAATGCATCATTGGTGGTTGTTGTGGGAGGGTAGGGATAAAAGAAGTAATTTCTTGTTCTTTCCAACACAGAGCATACCATGTTCTTCTGTTAAGTGCAGAATTCCCTGAAAACCTATCTGGACTCTGGGACAGGAAGGGGGAGGGCGTTAGCCATGGTCCCTTCTGAAGATTGAGAATCTCATAATGTGTAACAAGTGTTTAGCTCGCGGTCTCGATATCCCGGAAATTCGTACTGTTGTGAACTATGATCTCGCACGAGACATCGATACCCATGTGCATAGAGTGGGACGAACGGGACGAGCAGGTATGTAGGCCCTTTCTCATTTGACTAGAATTTGGCTAATCAGTTGCTTGCTACTATTGTTGTGAAGCTTGTATTGCACGTTGGGTAGCATAGCTTCTTTACTGTCGTAACATAGGGAAAACAGAGATTATGGGAGAAAACAACTATAGAGTTATCAAAATGCTTCTAAATGGCTATCTCATTTAAGGCCAAAAAGGGTGGGCATATACGCTGATTACCGATAAAGACATGGAAATGGCTGGTCATCTGGTTCGAAACCTGGAGAGTGTCAACCAGGAGGTCAGTTGGCTTTCATCGAATATTCCTAGAAGAAACAGGCACAAACGTCTCGTTACAGGTTCCCGGAGCCCTTTTCTCCCTTGCTATGAAATCTGCCTGGTTCCGTTCGCAGCGTGGTGGTGGAGCTGCAGTTAAACCTCGCGCCCGGCTTGGTCTTGGCTACAAGCCAAAAACTCGACCGGGTCCCGGTGGTGGAGGTATGTTATCGCTTGGTGCTTTTAGTGAAGATTTGCCAAAGATTTGTGGTTAACTGCCTCAATAGAAAATTATGTCAGCTATGTTCAGGCGCTCAGCTGGATCCTCTTAGAGAGCATAAACCACGTGGCGCAACCAATCTCACAGTGCGTGATGCTATAAGAGCTGCAACCAGTAATCAGTGAGTTGTTGTTGTTGTTCGGGGTTGCTTAGCATTCTAGGAGTGAAGAATTTTTGCTTTCGTCTATTCTTTTCTTTATATTGTAGAGGGCCCGCAGCTTCCGCTCCAAACGATAGGCTTCAAGCTATGAGAAACGCGTTCAAGGTTCGTGGTTTCTGTAGTAATAATCACTGAGAACGAGTAGTAGAAACGTAGTGTATGTTGTCATAACCACCACTTAGGATGACTTCTTGCCCCGCTGTTATTCAAGCCCCCTCTCTTAACATTTAGCCTGCTTGCTGCGGATGAGGGGGCATGTCCCGTGACTGCGGTCGGCGCTGTGCCAGCCCGTTTTTTCCTTTTTCCTCTCAGCAAGCGACAGGGCTGTATCATGTCATTTTTCGCCAGTTATCACTTACACGCTTGAATAAGTAGTGGAGAACGGATTTGGCGGCGTGCCAAACGCAGCCGCATGGACACGTCCCATCACCCACGACCACTCATAGTGTACACATTGAGGCGTTCCTTTCTCAGATGCTCATGGAGCGCAGGTGCGCAGTTCAACTCATTACATGTTAACAGATGGATAGTGCGAGGAAACGATTGTGCCACTGGCCAAGGATTTTGCCAGACCTTAGGTTGGAGGGGGGGGGTAATGAGCTCAAGTTGGGTAAATCAATTTTTTTGTTGCAAAGGAGTCTCGAGAGAATTTCCTGAAGTTCCATATCTGTTACAGGCACTTACGAAATGCTCCACCCCGTAGCCGAACCATGCCCTTCCTCGACTTAGTAGCAATTTTCACGAGTAAAATATGTGTGATGATGATCTCCACTTAGCATCGTTTTTCAGCAATCCTTTGCTGCGACTTTCAAGCCATCCGAGCTTGAGACGTCGAAAATCAGACCGCAGGTATGAACAGTACAACCCAGTTCTCATCTATTTTGATTCCTACTGAACTTTCCTTATTTCCAGATGGTTTCGGACCCGCGTCCAGAATGGAAGCGTAAAATTGATGAAATTAACGCCAAAATTAAAGCGGCAAGTCAACAAGAAACGCAGTCTGCCTCGTCAGAGACCACTGAGGAAGGTTCATCGTCTAAGAAGAAAAGTAGATGGGAGTAGCACGTATTATTAAGTAAGAAATTCTCTATGATTCAATATACTGTACTTTCTATGATTTTATGTATCCTTGCTGCTCAAAGTGACTTATACAAATCTTTGTGCAAAAAGTCGTGATTTTAAATGTATGCGTGGTAATCTGTGTTGAGGGACCCCACATAGAAAGCGGAAAAGCGCTACCCCTTATTCCGTTTCTGCTCTTGAAGATTGTAGTGCCAGGAACAGCGGCCTGATGTACCTAGAACGGTACAAGGGCACCCTCAGCAAGGCTCTGTATTATCTAATACACGTTGAGAAGGAAAGAGCGCATCATAACAGAATCATGTGCTAGAAGAGGTGCTCCTGCGCTACTGCAATCGTGGATGAAAGCAAGCGGTGTGGCTAGGGTACGCATGCGCCTTGTGCGTATGCGCTCCATCAAAGCTGAGCCAGGAAAGAAGGGGAATCGTTGTTTTGGAATGGGGACGCTGGCAAGTAGACTTAGCCACCACCCTAGGCTCGAATATCTCGGACCCTTGGTATCTGTCTTCATGGTTCGGTCTTTTTTTACTGTTGTGCATGCGATTAAGGGTTGCAGTCTTACGTTATGGTCCCATAAAGACCTTTTTTTGCTGGCTGTTAAAGGCAGTGGACACAATAGCGAGAGGCAGGCGGTTGACTGCCAACGTCACTGGTGGAAGGGCGAGGTGTGGCTAAACGCCCTCTTGCAGCATTCCCACCAACAACGCTGGCAGTAACACCCAGCCCTCAGGTATCGTGTCCACTGCCTTTAATTGCTGCTGACAGTCAGGTGAGGTATGAGCGACTGGAGGATGCGTAAAAAATGGCTGGTCCTGATGTTCCGTAACATATTCACTCTCATCTCCGTTTTGTCTTCGCAGATAATTTAATGCGTTCGGCAGCTTGAGTAGCGTGATTCACAGCGTACTGTACCGCATCAGCGCGCTTACTACACAAGTAGTTTATGTGGGTGTATATCGGATGGTGCGGTTGGCATCAATATTAGCGCCTTGGCTGTAATTGCCACCTTAAAGACACATGGTACGATCACACATAGTTTGGGTGTGCGTGACTATCAGCCCCCAGCTGTCGAAGCGTAGCGGTTTCCCCGTCCTAACATGCGCAGGAATGGAGATACAGGAACGCTAATTTGTCCATGCTCCGCCTTACACCTTTTTGCGGCCCGTTCATGCTAACATCCGTCGTAAGCGCGCGTGTCGCGTGCGGCTCTCTTGGCACTTTGCCAAGTCCTTTAATTGCGCTTTGGAATACAAGTAAAACGCAATTTCCTGATGCGGATAACATTTTAGGTGCTGCAAAATAAGAACCGAAGATGATGACGAGGGCCAGAACTCAAGAGCAACTGTGCTGCTTCTGCAATATCCCTCGGAGGCCGCGCATTCCCACAAAACATGAAAATAAAAACGGGCCCACTCGTTAGTTTAATACAAGCAAAACGCAATTTCCTGATGCGAATAACATTTGAGGTGTTGCTCATGCTTCAAAGTCCGAATAGAAGGTGATGAAGATGACAAAGGCTAGAAATGAAGAACAACGAATGTAGATGTAAATAAAACAAAATTGAAAAAACTAAGGAAACGCAAATTAATTAAAATCGCGTGTAAATTTCTGCGATCCGCACGAATCCGGCTCCAAAGCTATAGAAATACTTTAAACTAACGAGTGGGACGCTTAGGCCGTTTTTATTTTCATGTTTTGTGGAAATGCGCGGCCTCCGAGGGATATTGCAGAAGCAGCACAGTTGCTCTTGAGTTCTGGCCCTCGTCATCATCTTCGGTTCTTATTTTGCAGCACCTAAAATGTTATCCGCATCAGGAAATTGCGTTTTACTTGTATTTCAAAGCGCAATTAAAGGACTTGGCAAAGTGCCAAGAGAGCCGCACGCGACACGCGCGCTTACGACGGATGTTAGCATGAACGGGAATCTGCGCCGCAAAAAGGTGTAAGGCGGAGCATGGAGGAATTAGCGTGTTTCACGGTCCTGTATCTCCTGCGCATGTTAGGACGGGGAAACCGCTACGCTTCGACAGCTGGGGGCTGATAGTCACACACACCCAAACTATGTGTGATCGTACCATGTGTCTTTAAGGTGTCTCTGCATTGCATCTTCTTCTCCGGACGAATCACCACCCAAATTCATAATTATTCGGCTGCATTATCTAATAAATCACTGACTCAGTGTGTCGGCTCGTCGGTCTTTCGATCCGTATCGAGAGAAAGAGAGGGTTGCAAGTCGATAGGCCAAGTGAGTGAGTCTAAAGCGGTCATTCTGCCACCGAAAATTATCCCGAGTGCTTGAGTTATCCGCAGTAAAAAAGCGTTGCAGAGACACGATAGGGATGGCAGTTACGGTCAATGCGCTCGCTCCAGTGGCAGCCGCTTAAAGACAGCTCCCGCGATAAAAGTGTCAAGGATAATTGCTGATCAATTATGAAACAGTAGCTGATAAGTAATTCCTCAATGAAGGAAAAAAGAAACAAGAGCCCTCAAGAACACCATAAACAAAATCGCGACCTGACAGTCACACCTGCGGTCTCTGTGCAAGCCCTGGCTCACAAATCACTTTGTCACATCTCCCAGTAGTGGATATCATCGAATGCGAAGAAAAGAAAACAAAAAACAACAGAAACATAGAGGAAAAACTCTTGAAAAGAAAAGGAAACATTTAAAAAGCCGGCGTCCGAACTTAGGGTTACGGTAGCGAGCATGTTTTAGTGTAGTGAAGTGCGTCGAGCTTTTGCACCACAGAAATTGCATCATTCGTGATTTTTACGCGTTTTACCTTACGAGATGGGTTGCTGTTGACTGTACGTGCTCCCAATGAATAAAATGTGATGAAGGAGAGCAGAATTATTTACGAGCACGAGCGCGGTCAGCAAAAAATACATGCAGTTCCGATTAATGACTGCCGTCCCAACAAGGAACAACTGAGCGGCTCTCCGTCAGAGGGCAGCTAGCTAGTGAGGCGGTCCAACTGAGCAGGCGTTAGAACTAGAACTTTGAGCGGTTCTAGCTCGCTCCTCGCTCGCTGAGGAGTCGCGAGAGTGAGATAGTATCTAGCTTGGGGGCTGAACTACCTGCCCAAGGAAGGACGACCATGTACTACTTGACGGGGGCTGTCTTTAACACGTCTCCGCCTTGTATCCCGCAATCCATCTACTACTTGTTTATGCTAGTAGTCCCTTGGCAGTAAACTCTTACTTTGTAATCAATGATTTCCTCGAACTAATGGTTTT